TCGCAGCCTAAGCAAGAATTCAGATCGCCTGTCAGAGGGGGTTCTGAATTCTTGCTTAGGCTGCAAGGCTAAGCACTGCAAGGGAATATAAATAAAAGATAAAAATATCTATCTGGGTTCCCTGAGGGACAAGCCTGACTGTATAGAGGTTGATGTCAAAAGTATCCCCTCTCCAGGAAAAAGACATCGGGACGGGTATGGCCCTCATGCCTCACTGGACAACGACAGGGGGACTGGAGCCATTACAAGGTCCCTTTCAAATACTGGAGGTCAGGCCTCTATCCCCGCCTTCGCAAGTTTAGAATTGCCACAGCCGTTCTATACTTAGAGAAGGGAGGAGATGTCAGGGGCAGCCCTGCTTACACACTGAAGGCCTAAAATCAACAATAGGCCTAAAATCAGCAATAGGCCTGTCATACATGTATACTAACATCAAGTCTTGGGTCTCAGTGGAAAAACATTGAAACAGATGACTATAAGCTAATGTCAACGGGCAGCTTTTGTGGAAATTTACAAGCCTGAGTAGTCATAGACCTGGTAGATAGGTAGCCTTGGTGGATAGTACCAACTTAGATAAGGACAAGTGAGTCATAGGCAGTCTTAGTTACTTGTCCCCTGAACCTTCACCTAGCTGATACCCGGTTCTGAAGATATCTGTATTCCCCCTGAACACCCACACTCCAGTCCCATTCCCTTCCCCACATCCTGCCTTTCTGTGTTTATAACCCCTGTGTGAATGAATTACGATTTGAGAAAAAATAAATTATATATATATATAAAAAGAACCTAAACAAATGCATTGCTGTAATCATAAAAAAACAAAAACAAAAACAAAACAAAAAACCAAAAAAAACACCGAAGGTGTGGTTGACACCTGGAGAGCTTCTTTTTAGAGTGACTGCACAGTGAGGACCTAATCTCCTCAGTGGCTGGATCCATCGGTGGATTCATACCTTGATGATTTTATCAGGAGGTGGGGAGGTGGTAGAAACTAAGGGGCAAGGACTAGTCGGAGGGAGCAGGTTGATTGAGGCCTGCTTGTCTTGGCATGCTCTTGCTGTCTTGCCTTCCAGTTTCCTAGCAACCATAAGAAGAGCAGCTTTACTCCACTACATGCTTTTCATGCTGTTCTGCCTCAGTACATGCCCCCCCCCAAAAAATGGGGCCATGCAACCGTGGTTGAAACTCCCCACGCTGTGACCAAAATAATATTTTTTTCTTTTAAGTTGACTTCCTCAGGTACTTTTCATGGCGAAAAAGCGCAGTATTAAGTTGGCATTATTATCCTCACTTGTTAAATGAAGAAACACATTCTAAAAGAGACCGAGTAACTTCCTAAGCTCTAACGTGTCAGAGCCATCTGGGACTCAAAGTCATGCATATTGGCCTGCCTCACTCATTGAACCCACAAATCTTGTTCCATGATGAACTTGATTCTCTCCGTCAAATACTTGCCTGCATTCCATCTTTCTAATCATTTAGATAGTAAAAAACTACTGGAGTGCCTTGCATCTAACAGAAAGTATTTTCTGTTTCTTCTCTCTGTACTCACTGAGTATTATTTAGACATGGGGTATTTTCTGATCTCTATCTACTATGACTTAGGTGCTTATTCTTATGTCTATGTGCAGTCTTCATTAGAATACATTTTAAGTAGTTTAAATTGCTATGTATGTACCAATCAAGCACCAGGTGATTGTGTTTGTCCTTCGAGTATTGATGCTTCATGCTCGTGCAAGTACCCATGCTTGTGGAGCAGGGCAGCAGCTGCACACCGTCTCCACACAGCACCGGAGAC